CCCCAGTTTTACTATGCCTTGGCTGCCTGTTCATTAAGTGGATTTCAGTTCTTTCCATCATGGAGGCTCAGCATTACATGTGGAGTCATCTAGGGCAGTCTGCATGCAAATACAGTCTGCTTAGGAATGCCTTCTCCCCCACACTGGCGCTCACCCATCAAGGCACTTTGATATTTGCAAAAACCCTCCAAGGAGTCCACTGCTTGATGGCTCTTGGCAGAAGTACTGAGGCAGAGTTCTGTGATGTTTTCAGGAAGCTATGTACTTCAGCCTGCTGACCCCCCCCCCCCCCCCCCCAGCCATAGTCTGCTTGCATTGCATACAGAAGCACAGAGACAAACAGTAGTGATTATATTCCTGGCTCTAATGTAAGATATGTAATGGAAACATATATGTTTCATTTGAAAATGTAATTTGCATTCTAATGAGGGAGGGAAGAAGGGATTTGGGAAGGCAACATGTAAGCAGAATAAATCAATGTATATTATCTAAAGTCAATTTGTTTAAGATTTGGATATTTTTGTATTATGTACACAAAGTACAAGTTCTGTGAATGGACAAGGGGAGAGGAAAGGGTAAATGTCAAGATCTCTTCACTCTATGAGAGCTGCAGTTCTGGAAGTTCAGTGTTCACAGCTTCAGCATTCATGAAAATAGGATTTTTACCTTTTTTTTTCACTACTGATTTGTTTTATGCTCACAACCTTTTCTCTGGAGTTTGTTATACTCCTCGGTCCCTTCTTTCTATATCAAAGCACAGTCAGTCTGATAGCTCAGAAACTTAACATAGCTATTTAACATCTTGTTGACTTGCATGCTTACTTTGGGTTTACTATGACTGTATTTCATATTGCATTTAAATTATACTGCAAAAATTGAAGACCTCTTTCTCTATTTGAGCACATTATATTTTTATACATCCATTGGATTATGGTTTTGGTTGTGATTTTAAAAGTCTGCATCAAGCTGTATATGAATAGTTTCAAAGTTTAGCTGATTTCTGAGCCAAGTAGAAAATTATTGGCTGCATCCAGTGACTATATCCTATCAGATGAGGGTGCTGTGGCAGCCTGAACACAATATTAGTAAGTGAAGATTTCTCTGCCCAGACTGTTTAGCTGGGTGAACAAGAAAAAGTGTGTAGGCTAGCCCAAGTATAATGGGATTTAAATTGACTTGGTTCAATATATTTTTGTACAATAAATGTTTAGTATGATTAGAACATAATCACAAAGCATGTGTGGGAGATTGTACGAGGGTCATTCAAGTCAAAGCGGGATTTTTGAGTTTATACAATAAACTAATTTCAAGGAGTGGAAACTGCAGTTATTTTTCGACATCCTCCCTTGCTACATTTATACACTTATATCCCAACATTTAACTAATGTCTGGAAAGCTTTGTCATAGAAAGATTTGTCAGCACACTTGAACCATCCTAGGACAGCCTGCTTCACTTCATCATCGTGTTCACAGTTAGCACAGAATGATTTCTCTTATGTGCAATTTCACGACAAGTTATCCATCAGATATCCAGGATCAGGCATCCCACGTGCTGAATGTTCACAGGAATGACTGCTGTGGGCTGGGAACCACCATGGCCGTGATCGCCACTGACGGACGTATGGCTATCTTTGAAACTTTAACACCCATTTACATCCCACAACAGCATGGGATAAAAAAAAACAAATAAAAAAAAAACATTTATACTCACCTAGGTGGATTATTATTTTTATACAGGATTTATATAGCGTCAACAGTTTGTGCAGCGATTTACAAAATGAAGGTAGACATAGTTACAATACAATTTGGTACAAGAGGAAACAGAGGGTCGTGCTTATTAGAGCTTACAATCTAGGAGGAGGGGTTGAGTGATACAAAAGGTAATAGCTGTGGGGATGAGCTGATGGAGGAAATAATAGACAGTTTACTAGTTAGAAGCAGGGTAGGCTTCTTTAAAGAGAAAGGTTTTCAGGGATCATCCAAAGGTGGATAGATTAGGAGATAGCCGGACGAATTGGGGTAGGGAGTTCCACAGGATGGGAGAAGCTCGGAGAAGTCCTCGAGGCAAGCATGGGAGGAGGTGACACAAACACATGGAGGATCGAAGAGAGCGGTTTGCTTGATATTTTGAGACCAGGTTGGTGATGTAACTGAGGGAAGAGTTGTGGATGGCTTTGTAAGTTGTTGTCAGTATTTTGAATTTTATTCATTGGGTGAGTAGAAGCCAGTGGAGGGATTGGCAGAGAGGGGTAGCAGTATTCATGATGGACTGGAGGGGAGATAGCCTATGTAAAGGTAAGCCAACTAGGAGGGAGTTGCAGTAGTCGAGGCAAGAGATACCCAGGGAGTGAATTCGGGGCTTTGTGGTATCATTGGTTAAAAGGGGTGTATTCTGTAAATGTTGCGGAAGTTTAGGAGGCATGATTTGGACAGGCATTGGATGTGGGCCTGAAAGGATAGTTCAGAATCCAGGATTACCTCTAGCACCCTGGCATGCAGGGATGGGTTGATAGTGGTGCTGTTGATCCTGACCGAGAAATCAGGGGAAAAGGCACGTGGGGGAGGAAGCTCAGGAGGTGGATGCAACATCAATCCAATGCTGCATCTGTCCCCCGCTGGTTCTGAGAGGCTGAGCCAGATGCCAGCTCAGGCTTCTGGATGGATCCTGACCATATGGTTGGGATTTTTTCAGGGCCTGGACCAGCTCTGAGAATACTAAAAAAAAAGCTTTGGCTATATATCTCCTTTAACACACATAAAAAATTCAACATTTCAAGAAGAAATCTTGTCAAACAATGGGGTTTTTGCATTAGTGTTAAAACATTGGGTATCTAGTTTTTTTTTTACTGCACTGTTTTGTTTCCAGCTGGAAACCCTGTATTAGTTCTCATGCACACTGGACATTTTTACAGCTGCTGTTGTAGGCTTTTTCTACAGCCAGTAAACTCCCCAGCATGTTATCCTATGTGTTCATCCACACATAGGCTTTAATCAGCATTTTTTGGCAGGGGCGTTTTTTGGCTGGAAAAAAAACCCCAGAACTAGTGGGTTTTTAGAGGAGTTTTTAGCTATAAAAACGCTGAAAAATGAAGTAAAATGAGGCGTGGCAAACTGGCGTTTGAGCAAAATTTTTTTTTTTTTTGTGTAAAAAACTCAAGGGCAGAAAAATGCAGCTAAACAATAAGGCTAAAAAAACTCTACATTACCAGCATTATTAAAACACCGAGTGTGCATGGAGCTTAAAGCTGGCCATGGAACAGACTGCTGCATATAATTTCAATTGAAAATTCTTAGGTACAGTCTTAAGAAAATATGTCCAAACATTCTCAGACCATTTTGTTTGCTTTTAACAATTGATTTTGGAATGAATGGACCCCTACCATATGAAAACCACATGCACTGTTAGATATTAATTCGTTCAAGAAAAATGTTCCATTCTGCTCCTTCAAATTTTCTTATCATTGCTGTCAAAAATGAGTGGTGATTTGACCCCACTAATGATTGGAAAAATAAACAACCTTTCTTAGAAACTTCCTCTCCCTAAAATTTTTGTTTGTTTGAAATTCTACCCATTTATGGTCAGCCTTATAGATCTGTGCTGGTGTTGGAAAATTGAGGTGATTTTACCACTTCTGATACCTTCATTTCTTAGAATGCACTCCAGCAAGGATTGTGTGAAAACAGTCAGGTCCCTATTTGCACCCTGATTGATTGACTGACTGGCTTATTTCATCTAAGCAGTCCTACACACCTGTCATATGTATAGAGAAAAGAAAATCCCCTCCTCCAAGTCAGTGTTTTTTGTATTAAAACTGAACTCCAAGGATAACATAACATATTTACAAAACCCAACAAAGCACTAATTTTATAAGCACCCCTTTGTGTAATCCACCTCGAATCCCCTTCCTCAGGTTGTTCATTCTTATTTTAAATAGTACTTGTTCCTTGTTTCCCCCTCCTGCGGTTTACGTATACCCCTGCCTGTGCAATGGCTGCAACTGTCTCATCCTTGTGATCCTGGATACCATTTTGCCTTGAGTGGGAGTGATACATCCTTATCAAGTAGTATTTCTTCCTGAAGAAGCTCATCATGAAATGTGTTGAAGAGTCAACTTGTTACAATTCCATCACCAATTATATTTTGTCACTGTAAACATCAATGACATAGGTTTATCCGATGGTATAGGCCAGGGGTCCTCAAGCTGCGGCCCGCTGGGCAGGGGTGTATCTGCCGCGAGGCAAGGGACTAGGGTTTGGCAGGTCTGGAGAGTTTAGCAGGGTTCGGGCGGGAGGCAGGAGGGCGGGATCAGTAATTCTAGAACAGGGGTTACTAAGAGATGGCAGTAGACGGGGCTAGCGAGAGGATGCGGTGGGGAGGGTGAGCGATAAGTTAAATAAGGGGCGTGGTCTTTTCAGGGCGCTGTCATGTGTGAGCCGCTGCTGCAGTGAAAGAGCGGCCGATGTAATTGGGAGGAGCTTAAGGGGCGGTGACATGTGAGAAGATCACAGGGGCTGCCAAGTGTCAGGGGCCTCCCTGCTCATCAATGCTGAAATTTACAGGAAACCACCGCCAGAGCACACTGCATGTTTGTGTCAGGCTGGAATCACAGCAAAAAGTGCATGCATCCCAATCTACATGCACATGTGACCCACAGGGGTCTACTTACCAACTTTTTCACTCTGGATTCCTGGATTCACAGAACTTTCAATCATTCTCCCCCCCCCTCCTCTCTCTCTTTACATTGTACACAGATCTGACCCAACAAGGTGTCCTGCATTTACCGTATATTTCGCTCCATAAGACACACTTGGGGGGGAAATGTCTGTGCGTCTTATGGACAGCGGCCGGCCCAGTATTCCCGCCGTTGTATGTCCGCAGTCTCTGGTCATCGCCTGTACTGTGTCAGCAGTCTCTGGTCATCTCCTGTACTGTGTCCGCAGTCTCTTGGTCATCTCCTGTACTGCGTCCGCAGTCTCTGGTCATCTCCTGTACTGCGTCCGCAGTCTCTGGTCATCTCCTGTACTGTGTCCGCAGTCTCTGGTCATCTCCTGTACTGTGTCCGCAGTCTCTTGGTCATCTCCTGTACTATGTCAGCAGTCTCTGGTCATCTCCTGTACTGTGTCCGCAGTCTCTGGTCATCTCCTGTACTGTGTCCACAGTCTCTGTCATCTCCTGTACTGTGTCCGCAGTCTCTGGTCATCTCCTGTACTGTGTCCGCAGTCTCTGGTCATCTCCTGTACTGTGTCCGCAGTCTCTGGTCATCTCCTGTACTGTGTCCGCAGTCTCTGGTCATCTCCTGTACTGTGTCCGCAGTCTCTTGGTCATCTCCTGTACTATGTCAGCAGTCTCTGGTCATCTCCTGTACTATGTCCGCAGTCTCTGGTCATCCCTGTACTGTGTCCGCAGTCTCTGGTCATCTCCTGTACTGTGTCCGCAGTCTCTGGTCATCCCCTGTACTGTGTCCGCAGTCTCTGGTCATCCCCTGTACTGTGTCCGCAGTCTCTGGTCATCTCCTGTACTATGTCCGCAGTTTGTTCATAGTTTTTCTTTTTTTAAACTATAGTCCGGCCCTCCAACGGTCTGAGGGACAGTGAACTGGCCCCCTGTTTAAAAAGTTTGGGGACCCCTGGTATAGGCTATGTCACAGATCTACAGTATGTACAAGGGATTTGTTACAAGCATCTACCGAATGTGCCCTAAAAATCGTTTATTTTTACAATGTTTTTAATACATAATGAAATAAAGCATTTACTACATGTTCTGTTTAGTTGGCACCTATAAAATCCCATTATTTATGAGTTATTTCTAACTTTCCTGCAATACTTTAAAATATGTGCTCACAAAATACACTAAATACACATTCATGGACAACATTTGTCATCAAGAATGTAGATAAAATGTTGCTGACAGCAGCACTTTCACATAAGTGTTGTGCAAAACTGTGATTAAAACATTTGGCACAAAGTGTTGGCCATTTAATCCCAGTTTTGCATAAGTAAACAGCACACCTTAGTCCCCTTTATTCTGACACAAACATTCTCTGCTGTTGTCAGTGTGCTATTACAAGAATAGCCAAATTAATTCATTCATCTGGAGCAAATACTTTTCCAATAGTGCAAAGCCCAAATTTCCTGATGTAACTTCTGGCTTAATCAATGTTGGGTTCTTTGGCCAAAACCTGTGGCTAGACATTAGTCCCCATTCACACTTGAGTAATTAGCAACTCGAAGTTCCAAATCACTAAAGAACCTAAGGCCTAGTGCACACGATAAAAAAAAAAAAAAAATTGGACAAATGATTTTTTTTTTTAACTTTCTGTGCGCATAGCAAAACAACAGCGTGTAGTTGGAAGTGATGTCATGTACGTGTGACCCCTCTGCAGACGATCAGCAAATTGTATCAATAAGATTATCACTATATTATTGCTATTATACATATTTCTATCTGAAAAACAATATTTTTTTTCGTATTTAGCAGCATTTTCATTGTAAACTATGATTGTTTTAGTTGCCATTTCTCCTTCCGGGTTATTGTCATATTTCCGATCCTGAGCGGTCTTGGTCGTTTGATTTTTTCCAGAGGAATACTATACTGATTAAATGAAAATCATTCATTCTGTTATCTTATGAGAAAACCGTTTGTGCTTGTTCCCTGGGACAATATTGCATTAACTGTTGTGATCGGCTCTCAAAAGCTGTGTAGAAACAGATTATCAAAATTTCACTGCGAACGCATTATTTTTTTTTCGAATCGTGTGTACTAGACATAAATCCCATGCTTTTTAACTACCTATCCCTGTTCCTAGACCGACTACCCAAAGTTCTGTTATCAGAACACATCCATTGAGTTCTCCCATTCATTTAACACTGACCTTCTATATTACTATTATAATATGTAGGTATAGAGTGGTTCGTTGGTGATTCCTTTTCATTCATTTATAAATGGTGTCGATTCTTTCACTTTGTTTTTAATAAAGATTACAATATATTTTTTTCTTTTATAGGAATATTTATGCATATTTGCATAATTTTTTCATCTTTTGCTATAGTTTGAGTTTTTTTTTTCAGGGAACTGGCTATCAGTTTTTTGTGATCCGTGTGTGGTTTTTCACACACATGGATTCCTGTGGCCAGCCCCATGCACACCTGACATTTATTTCTAACTGATTGGCCACTTCTGCAGGGAGTCTCCATACCCATAATTAAGCTCTGAGGGGCATAATAGGCATGGCCTGGCGGGAGCACAGGCTGAGACTGCCATCCATTCCAATACCAGCGGGTATGCATAGATGTGTGGCTTCATGGGATCTATCCCTTGCTTAACTTCACACGCAAAAACATACAAAAAGCCTTCGAAGTTGCTTATGTACGCTACACTTAAGTTTGAATGTGGGCTGAAAGCACCCAACAAACTGCAACTGAAAAATCGAAGAAGCCAGGAGGAAAAAAGCTGGCCAGACATTGAACGCAGTCAATCAGATAAATCATTGTTCAGGTATTCTGACAGACACAGGTGCTGGCTGTTAGAATACAATAGCTGGCAGTGGGAGATTCCACCATATATGCAATTTTGTTTGGATGGGGCAGGATCTTTACATGTTGGACATCTCAAGTGTAATACCTCTAATATCATTATAGCAACAGAAATGACCCTTTGCCAGTCAGATTACAAGCAAATAAAAGGGCCCTGTGCTATAACAGTTTGTTTCTATTTCTGCTACAGTTACAGAGGCCATACATGGAGCAGTTTTCTTTGCAGGAAAGAAAATCGCTTGATTACCCCATCAACAGTCAGTGGTGATGGGGGAATCCCTCCTGAAGGCCACTGTGTTCTCTTGGCAGAGAGGCCCATTCCTGCCGGGAAAACACATTGGTTGCTGCTAGCACCTATAATAGCCACTAGCAATAATCGCATGTAAAAGCCAACAGGTTAGTTGTACCCAAGTTGATCGATCAATCACGTTCAGTCTGCCCATACATGGTTTGAACCTCAGCTGGTCCCTGCTGGGCTGCTGAGATCTGAACCACCTTTGGCTGGCTTTAAGGCCCATACACACAATGAGAAAATTGGATGAAAAATACCGCTTTCAGGTCGACTCTCCGATAATCTGCCCATTTGTACACAGCTCTCAAGAGCCGATCGCAACAGTTCACATGACAATATCCGAAGGGACAAACGCGAAAATGTTTCTTGTATGATACCAGAATGAACGATTTTAGTTTAATCAGTACAGCAGTCTTCCGAAAAAAAATCAGAAGACCAAGACCACGCATGCTCAGAAACGAAAGAATACATTACAATACAGTACATCACTTCCGAAGTTGTATTTTGTTGTACGAGAATTTTTGTAACTGCAGTAACCTCTTCATTTTTGATATGAGACTAGCATGCAAAAAGAAAAAAACAAAACAACAAAAAAAAAATTGACGATTATTCTTCTGATATTCATATCGTGTTTACAGGGCTTTAGACACTATTTATTTTAACCTTTAATTAGTTTTGTTCTTTTGACCAACAGTAGGTAGATAGGAAGATTAGCAACATTTCACGATTTTCCTAACAAATAATTAGTGTTTCATAAGGGGCTGCAATTACAACCAAGTTCTTGCTGAAAGCCTCGGTTCTCTGTGCCACACAAAAAGAATCAGCGTTGATGGAGCCACACTGTAGGCTGTGCATAGATAAGCAGGTCTTGAAGATAATCATTGGGTTTTAAAATCCTCAAACCAATCACCAAATACTGCAAGGACAGCTTATTTCTTTAAAAGGAAGAATTACTGTAAGGCAGAAACAAATTTTCTTTAGTGCCTCTAAACACAGTTCAATATTTCCCAATGTGTCTATGCAAATTGTGACGGTTATATTCGCATTTTAGAGCAGCATTACAGGGCATAAAAAAAAAAAATGTCCCAAACCCACATTCAGTGAGAAGCATACTAGCATAATGTATGCACATACAAACACATAAGCGCTGCATAACATGCAAAATTTCAACTTAATTCAACAAATTCATGTTCTAGCCAACAGACTGAAATTACGTACATACGCCACATGAACATGTGTAGATACACACCAGATCGAGCATTCATTAAGCTGGACTTTTCTGCCAGCTCCTGGCAGAATCATAAAGTGTGAAAGGGCATATTGTATTATGCCTGTGTGAATGGGGTTTAATTATTCTAAAACCCCATAATGTATAAACCAGTTTTCAAAGTCCAAAAACAGAAGCTGACTATGTACAATGCAAAAATAACTGTGTCATTGAAAAGCTATGAAATCAGTGTTGTAAATCTGTATACATCTGGGTACAGTTTAAACTATTTATACTAGATACATGGTTGATGTCTGATCTGAAGCAAGGACTCATTACATGTTCTTTCCATAATACTATGCATAAAGAGTAACCTTTCATAAGGACACCTATGCAATAGAGTGCATGAAAATTTCAAGGTCAGAAGACCTCTAAAAGGTAAAACTCCACAATGGGGGTGGGGAATTAAACCATCAGTTTATATCTATAGCTTTATGTAACAGGGAGCTTAAATGAAGAGCTATCACAACTGCTTTTTCCATGTAGTTTTCATATAGGCAGGTAAATTTTAATCTTTGCATCCCTGCAATAACATCTTAGCTGTTGCGTATTGCTTGTACAATTCCATGTAAAACATACTGTAGTTACATTGTTGGTAGGGTTGAATAAAGACACAGGCCCATTCGGTTCAACCTTTGCATGCATACATATGTACATGTTTTTTCACATTCCCATCCCTATATATTGTTTTAAAATGGAAATAAAAATGACACAGGGTTCACACAAATGCAGAATGTGTGAGTAGGGAAAACTGTTTTCACAGCTATCTCCAGGTTTTGGTATTCCTGAATTGGGTTTCGGAGTTAGGAGAATTCTACGAGTTTTGGGTGGGAAGAAGTCTCAGAGCCCAGTGTCCAGGTCTTGCAGGCAGCAGGCTGTCAGTGCAGGTGCACACATCTTTCATAATGAAGGAGTTGACAACAGCTCAGAGCTCAGCAAAATGCCATGTCCAAAGGGCCGAGGAAGTTGAGACAGCTAGGTGAGCATGGAGGACTGAGAGAGCTGCGACAACTTGGCAAGTACAGGGGGACAGAGGGAATCTGGAGATCTCATAGGAGTGAGAGAGCCCAGTGTCAAGAGATCCCCTATCAACATGTCAGCTTGGTGCTGCAACTGGAAAGGCCGAGACAGCCAAGAGTGCTGGGAAAGCTGAATAAACAAAATGGGACTGTTCAGGATGGTGTGAGGGACCAGAAGCCAAAGGCGAGGCTTGGGGCCTAATAAGCAGCAGTACTGCTGATGAGATCCAGGTTGTTCAGGATAATTTACCTCTTTTTTTTAAAATATATATCATATACCTGTTTTTGATGGCGAAAATCCCTTGTGTGGGTGACTGTT